CATAACCCCTATAAACGAAATAGTAACCCCTCATTCATCCCCATGATGAACCTACTTACTGATTCCCCCTGACCCTCCAAGTAGAGGGTGCATCTTATTCAGATCTTCTGTGAAGGTCCTTAGAGGAGGTTCCCACAAGTGGCAATCTAAAAGAGGCATTTGCGCATCTTGACCCCTACAAATCACAGTCAAGAGGAAGACCAGACATTCCACGGGATCCCAATGTGTCCTGTTCCAGGATTTCGAGCCTATAGAAGCTTAGAGGTTCAAGGGCTAGGTTTTGGAGGATTTGGGGGTTCGGGGCTTCAGCAATTCTATGGCCACGGATGCTCCAGAATTTCACTGGTGGTTTGTTCTGTCAACAGCAAGCGAAGAAACAGGGCACAGCAGGAGGCAATGTGGAAACATGATCCGATGTACGTTTTTTTAGTTGTTGTCCGGGCTGCTGGTCATTAGATTGGTGAATGCATTTGTGTTTTCCAAGTTTCGGAGTATATGTTGGCTTTTTCGTTTTGGGTGGGCGTGTTCTCGGTTTCCAATCGAAACCCTCCAGCACGAATCCGTTTAAAAAAGCCGTGCATGATATGGCAGTTGCCCAATCCATGCGCCTGACAGGCAGCCTCATCTTATGACCCTCGTATATCCCTAACGGTCCTATCATTTAAACCCCCGTCAATACACATGAACCTTTGGCCCTATAGGTGGTGTCACTTCCTGAGCAGTGCAACTACTACCTACCCACATGCTTAAAGCATGGGTCCTGTTTTGGATGTTGTCAGATGATGAAGGATTATAATAATTGGGAGTATAAGTACGAAAAATTGAAAACGCTTAGCCAACAGGCCTGCGGGGTCTTTGAACAAAATTTGGGGAGATGTTGTGGGTATCTGCCTGCTACCACTCAACTGTTGCGGACAGAACACTTGATCAAGGCCGATCAGTGACACCCCGGACGTATCTGCATGCACCACGGCAGTGGTGGCGCGAGCCCTTGAGAACCTGGAGTCCCTCCTCCAACAATGCAAGATCATGGATTCCGACAGGGTACTGCTACCCGGAGAAGCTTTCAGATTGTGTTGCGTGGACGAGAAAGGCCTATCTGCAAGATCGGATATCTTCTGGAAAGGAGTGATCTCCCAAGGGCAACGCAGCACGGCAAGAGGCCAGAACTCACAGACGCTGTTTCAGCAAAAAACGCTTTGCTCATGGCTTCAGACGGCTCCCGGTTGCCAGTTGGTGTGGTGACTTCAAAAGTTCCCCAAAGCCCGAGCTCTTCACACCGTCGGCCTTTGCTCCTTGTAGGAACAATTCTCACAATGAAAGATAGATATGTTTTTAGTCGCTGAATCAGCTTTATGGACAGTTACTGCAAGGGGGATGACCCAATCTACCCCCTACCATTCATCACACTCCTACACCATATAGTCCCCCTTAAGTAGATAGAATATGGGTTATATGGGGATCTTATTATAACATACCCAAAGCCATATTCTATCTACTTAAGGGGGACTATATGTCTTAAACCTTAAACCCTAAACCCTAAACCCTAAACCCTAAACTCTTAAACCTTAAGCCCCAAACCTTAAAAGTCCTTCGAGGCGAAGCTTCGGACTCGCGACGGGCTCTGAGTCGGGGAAAGTTTCTAAAGCTCACAGTAGCAAGGGTTCTAGGTAGGTATAGTATAGGGATTATATAGGGTTTAGCATTTAGGGTTTAGGGATTAGATAGTGATATGGGGTTTTAGAGTTTAGGCATTATGCAGGGTTTAGGGTTTAGGGATTGGGCTTTAGGAATTATGCAGGGGATTTATGCGGCTATGCAAAGATATGTAGGGGTTATACAGGTATGTTATACAGGATATTGCGAAACAAACGTGTTCTGTATAATCGTATGAACTTATACGAGACTATGGGATATTACCTGGTTATAACTGGGGTTTTCCCAACCTAAGAAGGTATCGAAGAGACTCTCTGTACAGGGTGGAAGCAGTCAAGGGTTGGGGTTTAGCTTTCGCTCTTAGCTTTAACATGGCTTAAGGTTGAGGGATTAGGGTTAGGGCAAGGAAAAGTGTAGGGTGTACGATTAGGTTGGGTTAAGCTCCTACAGAGTTTAGTCTCCAACTTGAGGGTTTTGGGTTCAGGATTTTGTGGTTTAGGCTTTGAGGGCTGTTTGAGGTTTCGTCCTTTCTTCTAAAGCTAGCTAAGCTAGCTGCTAGTTCATACCGGGATGGCTGTAGAGCCTTGCTGATTGCTGTGGTCATTATGCTGCGCTGATTGAGGTCAGAGAGAAGTACCTATTTTTCGACTATGCATGCAGCGTAGTTGAGTGGTTACATACATGGATACCTGCAGAATACTGCAGAATAGCTCAATGATATGACATCTTCCTAGGCTCACGGCTCGTCAATTCATAGATCCCTCCCTTTCAATCCCGCACCTACTGCTTCCAAATCCTAAGCCCTGAGCCGCAATCCCCGCTGGTATGATCTCATGACTGGTTTTGGCGAGTTTTTACAGGGTTCCTCGGGAATATGGGTGGGTGTACGTTTGATGTGTCCTTTTTGAGCCACCATGTAGACCCCCGAACCCTGAACCCAAAGGACCAATGGAGCCATGTCTTTACATGGGGAGTTTCCCAAAATTAGGGGGAATTTTTTTGGTCCCTATCATACGGATGATAATATTTTGAGGGCGATATTGGGGTTCCCCCATTTCTGGAGACTACCTTTTCTGAAGAAGAAGGCTATGGGCCCTTTTGTTTTTGGATTCTGTGTTTAGGGTGCAGCGAGATGTTGTCTTTGTGTTGCAGAATGAGCACGATAGTACCTTCCAGATAAATTCGCCTTGCTCCTTGGGGTTTACCATCGCCATCTTCATAGAACCCTAAACTCCAAAAGCCTAAGCCTCTTCTATGTTCTGGCCGTTTGGACCCTTCTGGCTTTGTTGGGATAGCGGGCTTCCTTTGAGGGCCAGAGGATCTCCCAATTGTGTGTGCTCTTGTTGTAGAAATAGAGAGCAATAGTAGCAGAGTATGATAGAGCTATCTTAATAATGTTAGCAATCTTCTCGTTGCTAGCAATGTTCTTGATAGTTGCATCCACATCAATATCAACAGCTATAGTACTGCTGGTACTAGGGGTCATGGTCGTCTGTGAGCTTTGCAGCCCGAGAGCAGCCTGGTGCGTCTCACAGCCTCTGCCGGCCCATGATCTTAGTCGAAGAAGCCACAAGGGGTACACATGGAAACCCTGGGGATATACAGGGAGGGTTTAGGGTTTAGGGGTTCAGGGTTCAGTCCTTCACCATTGGACTGTGTGTTCGTTCTCTACAATAACCTGAGTGTTGCTTAAACATCTTAAAGCGAAGGCACCTGACAAAGTAACCCGGCATCTAGAGTGACTCCGGTCTCTCTCAGGATAAAGACTTCTGGGCATACGGGCTATAGTCTACACCCTTAAAGAGGGTTATGTACGGGACTAGATAGGGGACTATTATAGGGGTTATTAAGGGGATACTAGGAGTTTAGACTACAACCCCTATAATCCCCTATGTAATCCCAGTTGCCATTTCATTTTCCATTTTTGATTCTCCATTATTAAGGAGGATACTAGGAGTTTAGACTCATACAAGCTCACACCAACAGACCTCGACTCGAAGGTTTGAATTGGATGGTCGACTAAGCTTAGACCGGTTTCCGACATTTAAGGGACCATTTTTTGGAGTTTCTGAACGAAGCATTCTAGCGTATTGGGGTACATAACGAGGCCCACTATTTATGGAAGATTCCATATTCATCTTGTAAAATTGGGCGGGTCATCCTTTAGCATTGCTGTTTTGATTGTTGTAAACTTGACCAAAGGCTCCGAAACCACGCGTACCGTTCCTGGGTCATATCGGAGGCAGGCCTTTCACAACTGTGGCAACATCCCTTTTTAGAAGGCCGCAATTGCCGACGCAACGGCAGTGCAAAAGATTCTTGCATGTTACGCAGAAGGGATTTGCGTGTAATGTAGGGCTCTAATCAACGATTGATGGGTGCCGCCCTCGCCCATGGGATGTGTAGGCAGTGCATTCTTTGAAGTACAGTCCAGTGATTGTGACATGAGCTACTGTCAATATTAGCTTCCCAAAGGGTAGAAGGCCCGCACGAGTTTGCCACCTCACAAATCCTCACAAGATGTGAGCTACAGTCAATGTTACTCAGGTAATTAATGAAGATGAGGTTCCGTCTTAGGGACTACCAAAGGAACTATACTAAACTACAAGAGGGACCTCTATGTCTACTATTGAATCATGATTAAGTTGACCAGAGTGTTGGACAATTATAGGGTTTTGTGGACCTTACCTTAGGGGTTATTATCCACCCTTTGGGGTTATATTATTTATGTTGGGGTAATCTTGGGATAATGGACCCCTCACTAGGGGCGCAGCTATTTCTAGGAGTATGCAGGTGGTCAGCTTCGAAAGGAGTGGTAAAAGGTTCACTGTAACAGCTCAAGGGTAGGAGTGCGCTAGAAACGACATGTACTATACTCTAAACTGCTTTAGTGGGTAATATGTAGGGGAGTATGTGGGGGACTGTTATAGGGGTTATTAAGGGGGATACTAGGAGTTTTTATACAATGGTTCGCATGAGCTGTTTCCTGAAGCCCTTTACCATGATAGGGTTTTAGCAGAAAGGCTCTCTTGAAGACAGGTACCCCGCGCCTCTGAGTACTGGGAATTCATTAGCATACTATGAGGACGGGCCTCTGGCCATGTTGAGTTTTAAGAGCAGGTTTAAGCGTTCACCTAGGATGCCTACAACTACCTACAGGATACAAGCCAAGGATGGAAGGGTTCCTCCGTTGATGATCACGCATTCTGATGCCCTAAGTACATAATCGATGTCTTTTTGTATTCTTCCGGGTGGTGTACCAGATGCAGTGGATCTTGCGATGGATGGGAATGCAAACGTCAGTTTGGCTGAGAACCGGCCTGTTGCCGAAGTGTGCCTCAGCCATGTCGTCCATGCCGAGGAGCGTGGCCCTGGTGGGCGTGGGTGCGGCCCTCATGGCCTGCACGGCCTTCGTAGCCCCCAGCGCCGGGCAGAACCGACTGCGCGCACGAGTCCAGCCGCAGGCGGACTTCGGCGCGTCTGCGC